TGTTAGCTGTCCCTGTCAGCTGCAGCCACTGATGCTTTCTAGACATCGTGATTTCCCAAAACTGAATAAATACCACACATAGCAACACAAAACTGCTTTGCTAGCTCAATCATGTTGTAACTAAGATATCCGCTGGAAAAGATTTTTTTCACGGACCGTTTAATGAGTTATTACCTATTACAGACACTGCTAACGGCTAACAGCTAACGGTTAGCCCAGCTAAACTTGCACACAGAAATAGTAATGTTTGTTCAATCATTGTGTTTATAGACTTTACAAACATCGGATTAGTCCAAACGGTGATACAGTGATGTGAAAAATGTGATATATAGGCTATATATATAGCTAAAAGCTCTGCTGGTTTTCTACCCGGAAGTATTTGTGAACAACAAGGCGATTCCCTCTATAGCCCGGCCGGATGGATGAATCATGGCCTTGTAAAAGATCATGTTTGTTTCTTTTAGTTGGCGAGAATGTGTCGCCGCAAATGCGACAAATATCCACTAACTTTGACGGCGTTTTCTGCAAGCGCGGCTGAGCCATTTTGTACCGCTACACGTGTTTCTAGTGGGACTATGTTTACAAGCACAAGAGTTCAGCGAGCCACCGAAGGACCACTCTGCAGATTTACTATTGGTTCTGCAACGTAGGGAGTTTTTTTAAACTCTGAAATTGTATCCGCCCATCCAAACACAAAATCAGGGAGAAAGTCATCAGTCTTTAGTTAAGCAAAGCGTCTAAAGGCTGACTTGTGAGTCTACTGTCGCCTACACTGCTTCATGTAGCTACATGCTAACGTTGGCGAAACATGTAATCTTGGTTACCAATGTTCATTTCTCGCTGATTTGATTATATTTGTGCTGAAACACATCTGACTGTGATGATTTTGGATTAGAAGGTTTTATTGGTGATTTCTGATGGTAGAAAGTGCTGCTTTATTCCATTAAAGCCATTTCCCTGCTGCAATGATGGTGAAGGGATCACAGATGTATGGGAAGGACCGGATACAGCCATGGAGGTGAGGCCCTGTTCATTCCTATCAAAGTTGCTTTGTGGCAAAGAAAAAACTCGATTTCCTAGGTATAACATTACTTATATCTTCTACATCATGGCCCTATACAGTAAGCATTCAAGAAACAATAGCGGCTTACTTCTGCCGGCCAAGCAGCTACTCCTGGTTTAGTGCTCCAACAAACTAAATGGGGGTAAAATGATTTATTCATGCAACACATCTAGACTTTCAAAATGTTATCACACCAAATGAATCAAATCTGGATGATGAAACTAGTCGTTGAGATGCTCAATAAAATGTATCCACTGATTTACAGACATCTCTTTCACCTACACTTTGTAATTTCAAGTCTAGCCATTGTGAAAAATTGGCTTCAAAGCCTGGCACTATTCCTGAGGGCTTGGCAGGGATACCAAGAGCACACAAGTGGAAGATCTGGAAAAGCTGACCAACCGGAGCAGACTGGGCTTTTCCGGGAGGGGGTCTTAAAGAGACAGGTGCTAAAACAGAGCAATCAAGATGAAGGGTGATACAGATGTCAAAGCACGGGCAGTATGAGGAAGATTAAGTGTTTTTAGACTATTAAAGCATGTAAACATACTCTAGTAGAAACCTGAAAAAGAATATAATAGGTCCCCTTTAACTTTTAAACTAAAATCCTGTTGATAATAATGTTGATATTAAGCATTTTAACTATTCCACTTTTAACATGCAAGCGATCACTTGCTTGTTGTTTAACATCATCAATCATGGAGGAACAGGAGGAACTACATTACATTTTGCCAGTGTTGTGCCAAGTTATCACACTGAGCTTTCACTAAACATTACTCCACGGATAGTGGTAAGCACCGGTAAGGATGGTACGAGATTCAGTAGTGACACAAGTGTAAGTTCTACAACATGCTCCTAAATTCTAACACATATCCTATATGCTTTCATAAGAATATGAGAAAAACATTTTATAGAAATATATAAAATAAAGAAATTAAAAATACAATCTCTTAGAGAGTAACAACAAATGCTGCATCATTATCAGAGCAGGTTTTAGTGTCCACTACAACATACCTGTCCCACTTGAACATGGGTGTCTTCTATGGAGTGGGAGTAAGCTTTGATCAGCTGTTTCATCTGCCGCAAGTGGGCCTCTTCGATTTCCTGGAATTTCTGCTCACACAAACACGTACACACATTCACACCATGGTGAAGAAAAGGAAAAAAAAACCTCAGTTAATTTATCTGTCTCTGTGGGTTGACATTTCTCTCTGACCTTTTGTGCCAATTAAATCCTTTCAAGACCAAGCACATTACATCAAACCTACATCGACATTAAAAACACAGCTGATACTTAAAGTCGCTAAAAACAGGACATTTTCCTGTTTTCAACTAAATTAGTCCTTTTTTTAATGTCTTGTTTATTTGTAATAATAAATATGTGGTTAGGCCTGGTGATAGACAGCATGTGTTTATTGACAAGAGGTCGTCTGTACAACTGATTTTGTGTTTTTGTCTGGTCGTGTTATTTCAGTTGTTGTCTGTTTGTTTTTGGTATGTGTTTTGTTTATATTCATTGTCGTGGTTGTAACTGTTTGTTTCTGTTCCTCCTGTCACTCATGAGCATTCAGAGAAGCAGCCACAATCAAATAAGACAGAGACTTAACCCTCCACATATATGCAATGAAGTGAGAACACTTTTAACGACATCTGAGGATTCAGGAGCAGCTACAGAGAGGCAATCAGCCAGCAGAGGAGGCAGCGGGTTGCCAGGTCGTTAAACCAGCGATAATTTGAGAGGATTTAGTATTTAAGTTTGATCCTGCTTTTTATTCAGCCAGCTCGTTTGTCGCTGTCTGGTTCAGAGGAATTGTCTTGATATAGTGCCATTGGCTTTTGTTCGAGAAGTGAGTTCGTGAGCAGAGTTTTGCCAATTTCTTTTCCCCAATTAACTGGGCAGAGAGTGCAAACATAAAACATTCTCCGCTGACTCCTCACAACTGTTGTCAGCCTTCAGCAGGGCATTTCATTCCCATCTGCCACGACTCCAGGGGCTGGTTGCATTAAGACATTTCAGAGAGCTCTTTGTGAACATCAGAGAAGATAAATATATTCATAAGAAGCAGTGTGCAGCACAAGTTGCCGTCAGACACTGGCATTTAATTTCCCTACATGGGTCCATGTTGCCAAAACAGTCCAATCAACAAGTTAACTGTCAGTCTGTTTGACTTCATGATTACAGCTCTTAGTTTGTTGGTAAAAAAAGCCAGTATGAATACAATCTCAAAACCCATCGGCTATCGTTCTTACGACAATAAGCCTCTGGGGAGCAACAGACAGTATTTTTGGAGATCCGGAGTCGGCAGCAGATATCTGATCCAAGACTTTTCCTAATCTCCGTGAACTGATATTTATAAATGCAAATCATTGTCAGACAACAGCTGATGGGTTCTGAGATTGCATTTCGGCCAGCTCGCTCTTCATATGGATTGCTTCCCTGTGCCTCAAACATGATTGGTCAATATTACTCGAATTACAAACGGACTATGAACGAAAATCAGAATGCTTGGGTTACAAATCCAGAATCTAATTATAGAGATAAGTAAAAATACAACTGCAACAAAACTAAAAGACAACCATGTGTCTTAATTTCCCTTAGTGTGGACCAAATGAACCAAACTACAGGCGTGAAAATAATTTAGTTTTGTGTTTGATAAAAAGTATCTTGGTCTCTTATTTACTGGTCCGTTATTTATTTGGTCTTACTCTGTTTCTTCTTTTATCTATTGACACATGTTTTTCTCGCAGGAACCACGTAACCCTTCATACTAATGACCGAATCTTCCCCCTCAAAGCTATTACAAGAGATAATTGGTCACAAGGATTTCAGTCATCATTTCAAATGTAAAACACAGAAGCACTCGTTGAGGTTTGTTGAAGATTTCCATGGAAACAGCAGCAGTAACCATGGAAGTGTGGAGGCAATGATTAAAGGTAATGAGCGGGGGACAGGATGTGCATGCGTGTGCGAGTGGGTGGGTGTTTAGGAGTCGGGGGTTGAGGTTGCCATTTTAGGGGAAGGCATGATAGGATAATAAATGAAAGGATAAGATGGAGTTTTTGTGTGGTGGGAGGTTACGGAGAGGGTGAGTCAGGGAGATAAAGAGAACGATAAAGCCCAAGAGAAGAAGAGATGCAGAAAAAAACACCACATCAGAGGGTGGGAGAGAGACAGAGGAAGAAGTGGTCCTCGGCCCTGCTGGAGTCGGAGCTGACCTGGGAGGACTCGCTCATCTTCTGCTCAAACTCTCCTCCCACGCGGTTGTACTTCTCGATGCACAACGCAAATGACTCTGCCGCTTTCTTAGACTTCAGCTCCGCCTAGTGAGAAAGAAAAGGAAAAGAAAAAATATGGCCTTAAGCTACAGTCTCTCATTCACAAACCTGAAATAAGAATGAATAGCTCAATGAGTGAGTGAGAACCATTTCTGCCACATGATTACAACTACTGCATTCACAATTCAGTCCGTACCATAAAAAAGACAGAACAGCAATTTATTCAGAGAGCTGACAGCGAGGAGCGCAGCGGTTACGAAATGTTGTTTTCCGTAATTGTGATGACAAGATGAGTCTAATTAATTTAACCTCAATTTAAACAGACACTCTTGTCTCATGAGTGGACCACAAAAACACACTTAAGATGGATTTAAGGGTCACAAGACAGATCATAATAACCCGACATCCCAGAGCTTAATAAGAAATCGCTTCTGCAGAGATCTGTCAAGTTCACATCCGGCCGACGACAAGATAGAGACATATGGAATAGATCTGGACTCTTATTTACTTTAATACAATTTCTCAAAAAGTACTGTTATATATTTTTGCTTTTTGATTCATTACTTTTGTGAAATTATGAGATTAAAGGGATAGATCAGATTTTTAAAGTGGCTCTCAGGTACCACAGTCAGTGAATTAAATACAGTAGGCACACCCCCAGTTTGTAAAAGAAGGCAGTAGTACTGCCACTGAAACTAAGCAATGTACCACTGTGGAAAGACAGCAGGAAAACAGATTTTGGCCTTAAAATTTTTTTTTTTTAAAAATCAAGAAGGCTACGCTATAATTAGAAGATTTTCAACACTTTACCTTGCGTTACACAGCTCTTACCTACAGGTGTTATCTATGCTCTATTCAAAACAACATGACTGCTTTGACAAAAACAGTAATTTTGTAGAAATTTTGTAGAAAAGCAGCTCCCATGTTCTTCAAGCTTTTTGTTCAAGGAGTCTGGTGGTCTTAAAGAGAGCATAGATTACAACTTTAGTTCCCTGTCGGAAGTCGTCGTCTGACAGTGAAAATGTTCCCAACATAGAGCACTGAACTAATTTTAATTTATCTTAAGTGGGACTTTTTTTAGGTGGCTAAAATAGGTTCTGCTGCTGCCCCTGTCCACTGCAGTACAGTGCATAGTTTGGATAAGTACCTCATATAACCCTCCTTCAAAAAATCCAAACTATCCCTTTAAAAGCCCAATCACCGAGTTTTCCTCAGGGTGCGTTGTGATGATTATAAGAAGGGGGCAACTATTCAAAAGTATTATGTGTTATTAATATAAAAATAAGTTCATAATCATCACAGTCATACAAATATGCTGCATAGCAAAGGAATAACAGATTTATTATTATGAATAAAGATCATAAAGTAGGCTGTGTGTTATGGTTGCAAGCACCAGGAAAAGTAGTAACTGCGCCCTGAGTGTTTGGTCAAACTACTTATTTCCAAAGTCAAGAATTAACTTTCAGGCTTAACCTAACCATAAATGATCATATCAAAGCTGGGCTTCAAGTGATGACTGAGTTTCAAATATTTCTCATTACATGTTCATACTACTAATGACTTCCACTTACCGTCAAAACTTCTAAACAAGCTGAGTTTTATTCATTTTAGCCCAACATTGTTCAGGGAAATTTGATTCCTAACACAGATGGATGAAAACATAACAGCTACTGAATGTCAACAGATGACAACTGAACAAACATCATCCACTGATACAGTTTAAGACTTCAGAAAAAACAAATGAGTGGATCTTGAGTTGGGATTGTTTTGTCAAATGATAATAATTCAATTCTGAACAAGTGTAAATAATGGATTTTAGCTCTTCTAAAATCAGATGTGTTGTTTGTTTGAAGCTTGATCCCCCAAACTGCAAAATAATGCTGTCAAGAGTTTTTATGGGAATTACTTCTTCAGTAATTTTTCTAGCTGATTTGCGCTCATGCATTAGCAAAAATATGTTTGATGGTTTCCTTCTGCATCAGAAAAGACTTAAGTTACAGCAATTTGAACTTCAAAAGAACTTCAAACAAAGTAAACAAAGCGTATTGATCCTTTGCTACGTTCAGTGAATTATCCAGTAAATAAACAACATAGTTTCTGGAAAGAGATGCTGCAGATCTTTCTGAAAATGTACTGTGCACCTGAACAAATAAAATAAAACCTATTTCAACACAAGCAGTGGGTGAGAAATCAGGGCTCTTTTGCCAATTTGTGTGAATAAACCCTTTGATTTGATTTTCTTTCAGAGGATACTTGATTAGCTCCTGTTCTCTTTAAAACCTGAAAACAATCGTAAAAGTAGACAGAGTAGAGACTAACTTTCTCCAGTTCTTTCTGTGGAGCTCCCTCCTTCCTGAGCCGGTCTAGCTCCAAACACTTGGCATGGTAACCCTCCTTTGACTTCTGAAGGTGGCCGCTCTGAACCTGCAGCGCCTGCACCGCCTCCACTGTCCCCACCATCTCCTCCTTTGTCTAGGTGATGCACGTGCGCACACACATACACACACACACACACACACACACACACACACACACACACACACACATACACACAAATGAAAAGACAACACATGGACATCCTGTACAGATCATCACTGAACTTCATACTTAATGGAAACGGCAGCAATTACCACGAAGGGAGAAGACAGTAATGGGATCTTCTGTGAGATAAATTAGATCAGGATGACAGATTCTCCATGAAGGGCAAGTAATGAGAAATCATACAAGTCTATCTACTTTTTCTCAGAGGCATTAAAAATCGGCCAATTTTTCGTAAGATTAGTGGTGAGGCATCTGAGTTCTCTCGTACCTTGCGATGAATTTTGACCTGCTCGTCGCCGTACTTGTTGATGTCCCGGATGAGATCGTTCATCTTTCTCATCAGCTCTAGGTGGCAGAGGGCCAGTTTGTCTGACGACACCCTGAACACATCCCACATGGGAGCAAAAGTCCTAGGAAATACATACACAAGCATCAAGCACACACATTAGACTGCTATGTTCTGCCTTCCTTTTAAATATACTCTAATACCAAAACCAAACTCAGCAGTGTGCTCTGCTGCAGTGGTTCTCAACTTGAGGGTTGCTAGACAGTTGTGGAGAGAAAAAGCCTATTAAAAATAAAATAACGTATTTTAGAATGGAGAATGGTTTTTACACCACATTCCCTGTACTCAACAGATTTTATTGAGTGTGTCTGTGAGAGTCAAAGATGATTATTCTGGGGATTCGTGACTTGAAAAAGTTGGGAATCACTGCTCTGCTGCACCTGTTACCACATCCAGCAGCAATGTGACAGTATGCTGACCGACCCTGGTGTACACTTCCACATCACTGCAGCGAGGTGAGTTGGTTTAACCAGTGAAGGTCAGCAAAAACAAGATTTTCTGCTCCTGTTAAGCTGCCCTTTCATTTATCTAAAAGCCTCTGGAAAGTGTTTTTCTTTACCCTTCAACAGTCAAGACTACAAAGGCAACAATGAAATTGAAAGCAGGGAAAAAAAATCCTTATGAATGATTTATACAGAGATTAACGCTCAAAAACTGTGCTCCATCAGGACTGTGTGGGTGTGGACTGAGCCTGGTCTAATGTAAACCAATGAGAAGAGCGCAAACATAAATACTGTATAAGATGAATATTGAAGAGGACATTATGTTAATCATAAATATAAACATTTGTTGATGCAGATGGTACTCGTTCATATCTCATATGCAGCTATATGACCACTACATGTTTAATTACAGTAACAAACACCTTCCAACAGTATAAATTCAGTTATAAGGCACTAAAGAGGATGATGAGGGTTTGTTGGGTGAAGCCGCTGTACTGTCCTATCTATACGTGACGTTACTCACCCCTGTGGACTTCCGTTGCTCGCCATCTTGGCCAGTTTGCTCATTGATTTGGAGTAAGTCTCCTCAATAGCAGTACTGCAAAAACAAACACACACATTACCTTTAATGGCGTAACCTATAATTCTAATTTAGGGCTGCCCAAGAGAAGTGCAGCAGGTCAGAAAATGCATGTCTCTTTTTTGGTTGCCAGTAACCCAGCAGTAAGAATAATGTGTGCATTCTTAAAAATGAAAATGTAAATTTGTCTGAATGACTTTTCAGACTGGAGCTTGTAATGTACTCCAGTAGCACTTCCAACAAGACTATTGCCTCTGCTAATGGCCTCATATGTTATGTTCCCTATCTGGAGCTTGCTTTGGCCCAAACTCGGTGCATCCACCATCAGAGTCGGCAAGAAAAAGATTTATATTCATCAGTGTTGGGTAAATGTTGCAATAAGCCACATTTAAATGATAAATGGACTGGTTTTACAAGGCTGGGCATGAAACTTTAATAACCATCTGTAGACCCTGAAGAGAAAGGAGGAAGGAGCATTGATCCAAATATCCTGAGGGCGAACACAACAACTTGCTCCTGTGAGTCATAAACAAACAGAATATCGGTCTTGAGCAGTGATGCTGACATTGTGTTGGAACAGAAATTGGATCACGAGAAGCACTAACATGTATTTTAATTTTCAATTATATTCATTGTTGTTGTTGTTTTTTTTCTCACAGTTTGTTTTTATAGATATTTGATTTTTAATCACAGGGTTTTTTTTATATTTAATTAATTAAGCTCATGGTGATGCCTTCAAATTGTTCATTCGTCTAAATAAAAATAAAGAACACCTGCATATTGTCTTTTAAACTACAAATTTATTCAAAGTGGCTATGATCAAAATTATCACCCAAATGTACAGCTCTTCTTGGCTTCACAAAGCTTTATAATACATCAAGTTTCAGCTCATTGTTTAGCTGTGGGTCCTGCAACTACTGTTTCAGCTCACTCTCATTGCTCTCATAGCACAGTTTTCAGCCGCAGCAGGCTCAGCAGGTGAAGGCTCCAGAAATGGCCCATTTTATGCTCAGCACCAAATGACAGACACAGTTAGGGACTAGCTGGCTTACACAGCAGAGCATTTAGCAGCTAAAGAGCCTGTTATTTCTCTCAGGAATTGATAGAGACAGAAAATATAGAGAAAAAGGGGAGTCAGTGCTGCACTTGAATTCAACAGGTGTCCAGAAACACGACTCCATATGAATGGTTATGTTCACTGCTGAACACGTAAAAAAGAACTTTTCGCTTTCATATCAACTTAAAAGGTGGTGATATGTCAGTGTTGTTGCATTCACACATTGTTTCTGCTGCCCCCAAGTGGCCAAAAAAACATTTATGGCAGGTTAAAATTGACAAGAGTGCTCCAGGGATGACATTTCTCTGTAGGCCTGCGTGGAGTCGTCCTGTTCCCTCGTCAAAAAACCTATGGGATTTCTCCTTTGGATTTTAGATAATTGCAGAAAATAAGCTCTGCAACAAACAAACATTTATGGTACTTACACATTTAGTTCAACGAGATAATCTTCACAAATGGACACCACTTTTATGCTTCTGAAGCCTCGCCAGAAGTTATGACGTATTGTTGTCTAATTTAGTCACTTGTTAGCAACTTTTTTTTTAAGACACAAAGGCTTCAAAATTCACAAGTGGGGTATTTACTGACGTGTTTTATGTTGTAGAACAAAATGTGAAAGTCTGTTAAGCTTGTGTTAACCACAGACCTTATTTCAGGCATCTAACCAAAAACCCATTCAAAAAACCCACTAACTTTGAAACGAGGAAATGGGGAGTGCTAAAATGCTAAAACTAATTTCCAGGTTTCGTGACTCACTCCTGGAGCATTCTGAAGAGCTTCTGATCACATAATCAGATTGAAATTGAATAAATTTGTGGTTTGGAGTCAGTGTGCAGCCGCTAATCTTTTTTGTTGCATCTACTTCTTTCCAATATACATACCTGAGTACCTTTACATACACGATGTGTATAATTCCACACCCTCTATATTCAAAAGTTTTCTCTTTACAAGCTGCAAATTCTCTCATTGGAAATGCTGGAACCAGCAAATAATTGGTCTTTGAGCACCACACCATTGATCAACTAATCAATTTAAGTCTGCAAATAACGATTCTTTAAGTTATTTTCACCATTAATTGATTGATTGTTATGTCTATAAAATGCCCGAAAACAGTGAAAAATGTCCATCAATACTTACTAAAGCCCACTGTTATGACTTCAGATGTCTTGTTTTGCCAATTAACAGTCCAAAACCCCAAAATATTATATTTTCTATCATAAAGGAGACAAAGAAAGCTAGCACTGGGGAATGTTTTGATGCATTCTTGCTTAAAAAAATGACTGAAAGGATTAACTGATCATCAAAATAGTTTTCTGTCAGTAGCCTTATTGACTTACTTACTTGCTTCAGCCCTATGGTCATTGTTTCAGCACTTGTAAAAGCCTGATGCCAATTGTGTTCCCACTATCAATGGTGCCTCGCTAACAAGAAGCAGCAATATATCTCCATTACACTGAGCATCAGGGCGAAGGTAGTAAATACAACATGCACTAACTGAGAAGCCTTGAGAATGAGGTTGGAGTTGTTGTGGTACTTTAACAGAGTGTTTTATATGGTGTCCTCTATCAAATTGACCTTTAAGGCAAGTGGAGGGAGAGAAAGATGGAGGAAATTTATCAAAACAATTGCCTTTCCTACGTCCTGCGGGATCACACGCTATTTTACCCACAGTGGCCCTATTTCATTTCCTGACGGCTGATTTGTTGTCTGCTGCTGTCCAAGCAGATAAGTGAATTTCCCCCTGCGAGGAATGTGCACAGGCACTCTGAATCAATGTCAGGATTATATCACTGTTCTGACAGAGCGCTGTGTGTGTGCATGTTAACTTCCAGCTGTGAGAGCAAAAACTCCTGTGGGAACCTCATTAATACCCTCAATTTACTCACTGATAACTTCCTAATTAGAGGACAGAGTATTTAACAAACTACCCACTCTGAGAGGACAATTCTAATTAGGTAATTGACTTTCACCCTTTGGTACTACTAGTTAGCCTGTCAGTTCTCACTAGAGCTGCACAATATATCCTTTGTTAATTGTTTTTGCAATGTCAACTCATGCAATACCCAGAGTTAGAGCTGAGTTAGTTAATAGAGTATCAGTAAAAAACTGTTAGACTTGAGATTTTTTAATTGGTGATTTCTGTGTTCAGTTCAATGTTCAATTTGTTAAATAAAAAAATTGTGGAAAAAAGTTTTCTTTAATTTTTTCAGCACGCTATCTGTTGTATTTTAGCAGTATACTGAAAGCAGCAGAAAGGCTGAATTGAGTACACTTTAAGATCTGTTTATTCATGACAAGTAATGCTGTTATCATGAGGTTTACCATTATTAATAGGGCTGCACGATATGCAAAAAATAAACAAAGCCTCTTACAATTAAAAACCATAAAACTCAAACTCAAAAGCCTAGTCCCAATGAAATGCTCAGTCCCTTTTTCTAGCCCAGCACAGCTACACATTTTGACAAAAAAGGCCTGTCTCAATTAGACGCCTGGTGTGGTTGCCAAATAGTCAATCTTTATAAGTTCTTTGGATGTATAAAACTGGGTTGTTTTGCTACCCACTTGAACTAACGTTAGTTAACTGTTTAGATATATACAGTACAGGCCAAAAGTTTGGACACACCTTCTCATTCAATGCGTTTTCTTTATTTTCAGGACTATTTACATTGTAGATTCTCGCTGAAGGCATCAAAACTATGAATGAACACATGTGGAGTTACGTACTTAACAAAAAAAGGTGAAATAGCTGAAAACATGTTTTATATTCTAGTTTCTTCAAAATAGCCACCCTTTGCTCTGATTACTGCTTTGCACACTCTTGGCATTCTCTCGATGAGCTTCAAGAGGTAGTCTCCTGAAATGGTTTCCACTTCACAGGCGTGCCTTATCGATTGTGCAGCCTTGGTTGCTGTTGTTGCACGTGACTCAGCAGCCGCTCCCAAGTGGAACATACTGACACTGAGAGAGCCCATGAATAAGAGTTTCGCAACCCCAGTCCACTTGGTGGAGGTAATGCACCTCTAAATTGGTCTGATAACCACAAATAAATCCTAAATAAGAGGAAGCGGAGAATTAAGCTGTACCAGTATCAACAGGCAAATGATGTTGCCTCATCTGTTTTTCGGCAAACTGCTTTCATCAGCTTCAAATCCAAAATGTTGCCTTATTGGTTGCGGTTTTAATTTTCTTTTACTAACTCTGCCATGTCTTGTCACCCTGAAAACACATGAGCATTCTATTAAACAAACACAAAGTGTGCCATTCTCATCTTCCCCTCTCCCACCTCTACAAAAATGTTATGTTCCTCATGGAGTCACTCTGAGCTCGGCAGTAAATTGACATGTCAGACAGTAGTTAGTCTGTTTATTTACAAGCATAATATTATGTTAATCATGTTGTCATATTGTTTATTACTAGCACAATACAAGCGCTGTGACACAATAGGCTGAGGTTGCTGATGTAGGCTACTTTTTAATTTACTAGAACGTGTCATAATGACCAATATCGGTTCAGCTGGTTTGCATTAAATCAAACCAGTCTAAACTCTTACACAAGACTGGACAAAAGTTTTTTTTTCCTAGAATGGCAAAGGCCTTACCCGCCCTACTCTGCCTCTGATTGGCTTACCCTTACATTACCCTTACCTTTCTCACTCCTCCTTAACCTAACCAACTCAACCAATAAAGGCAACAAGTATTAGCCGAAGGGAGAGTAGGGTGGGTCATGCCTTCACCATTCTCGGAAAAATAATTAAGCAGACCGTTACAGCAGAACTAGAAATCGATCCAACTCTTACTCAGATTATTTAAACCCAGCAAATGCAAACATGGATAAAACATAAAAGTCTGTACCGCAGGTCGCACAGAAATAATCAACCTTTCAGACCTGTGAGTGTGTTGAGTGTTTGAGAGCTTCAAAAGTAGCACAGAAGTGAGGACAGGGGTCAGAGATCAGAGCAGAGAGGGACCACTAACACAGTTTAAACAAAGACAGACTTGTTTGGTGTTCTCTGACAGGACTTTGAAACACCTTGTTAGATGCAACGAAGGATGAAATCCAAAACAGTTCACATATCATCTCTGAGCATAAGTATACAGAGTCAAGAATGCAGAATTTATCCACCAGAGTCCCATCACTAGCACCACCTCCCACACATATTCACAAATACACACAAACCTTACCTCTCGCGGACAAACTCGGCTAGCTCCTTGGTTGCCAGCTGGCCATGCTTCATGTTGTGGTAAAGCACGTCAAAGCCGGCATTTTTCTCCCCCTGCCAAGGTAGAAATAAAGATACACACACACACCGTCTGTTAGCACCCAAATGAGGAACATCAAACCAACATTTGAAAGTCAAAGAGAGTGATGTCAGTCGGTGCTTCAGTACAGCAATATCGTATTTGTTTTGAGCTTTAGCTGAATTGCCATATTACACATTACCACTGATATTCCTCTAAAAGAGAGTCAGTCAGACTCACTGGCTCCCAGGAAATATTACACTATCAGTCACATGCACACCTACAGCACTGAAACACTCATATGAAACCAGCTTTAAATTCTGTTTAGTGTGAAACAACACTGACATCAATACTACATCCATAGTTGTGTGTAGAGGCCCATTTTGGCATTTGCTTTATGGCAGCAATATATGTAAACAAAGTGTTACTGTAAGGTAAGAAAAAACTTGTATCTATGTGTTTCAGCTGATCATAATTGAAAACATGGACCCATTTTAAACTAAATTCTAAATGCCAGCTGTGATCTGTGCACACACACAAAAAGATATGATTTGGCAAAAACACTACACATTAATTATTTACCTTTATATATTACTTGGCACAATCAGTGTTAGATTTTGCCTCACCACTCGCTGTCACACACAACACAACAATATACTGACTCTGAGACAAAGTAGCTCATCACTACAAGACCTTCTGTGTTACCACCTTAAGGGGATTTATACTTGTGTGTCTGTGTCACTCTGCAGTTACACCTCCAAAACACTAGTTGGCGGCAAAGGTTTCTGTGAAGTGCTATAAAGTTTAATTGATTCAAAACACGCAAAACACACTTCAAACATGGCTTAGTAGGGAGAATTTCAAGTACAAGTACACAAATCAGCTTTGCTACAACTCGCAGCATTCACAGACAAAGCACTTGTCTTTTGCTGGACACATTTTCCCCACAAATACAACATGCTATTGTTTTTAGCAGAAGCCTATGGCATTTTACATTGTATAAATTAGCCTAGTGGCTTCTCTCTACTCATATGAAGCCAGGGACAACAGCAACATTTAACAAAGGTAACATCACACAATTCGGCTCCGTTACAACTCACAAGGTTCACTGACAAAAAAACTGACTTCTACTAAATACATTTTCCAGACAAATATAACATGTTAACGTTATTCGCACAAGCCTATGGCATTTTACATTGTATAAATTAGCATAGTGGCGAGCGAGGATTTCCTTTACTCATATAAAGCCAGGACAAATTCCAAAGTATAAATCCCTGTAGGTTAGATCACACACAAGACTTGAAATGCTATTTTTGTGTGGTCTTTATTGTCTTCACAGTTTGTTTCTTATCTATGAAATTAAAGTAAATAAAAGCTTTGTTTCCACTGAGGGAAATGGTTTCAGCTTACAAAAATAGACAGGAGGTCTGTAGAGCTTACACCATAGGTACGACATCAATTCGATGCAGTAGTATAAATCCTGAATTATAGACACAAACCAAATAAAGTTACATTTTAGTTTCTGTTAAGTTTGTTATAATGCTCGCCCCCTTTCTCTCATGCTCCTGCACCCTCTTTTATTCTCTCCCTTCTGTCTCACTGTCATTTTGTATACTATTAATAGAGAAACAGATTATGAGGTAATCAAAATTTAAGTCTGAATATGCAACAATCAATGTTTAAACTAAGAAAGAACGCGATTTGTTATTATTTATTATGAGCTCAACATCAACTTGTGTATTTGTGTCTCCCTTTACTTCCTGATAGGTGGAGAATGCATTAGTGCAACAGCTGACACTACTACATAAACAGACCCCACAGATTTACTGGATAATATTACACATACTTAGTTTTGCTACTATTTTTTGCAAATACATTTAATTACTTAATATTTCTGTCTATAACCATGTGTATTCCCCTACGTTTTTTTGGTTATAGTTTTCTGTCTGTGACAGAAGAATACAGACAATGAAATTACAGACATGACCAAAGTCATTTGGCAAAAAATATATGTAGGACCCCTTTGTTCATAGTAAGAAACTGATGGCAGTTAACAGCAAAACATTAGTCTTTGCTCATAAGTACATATGTACCAGTTTTGTTTAGTTAACAACACTAATTTTCTGTCAGCTGACAGATAGAAAACAAAATCAAGTGGCTTTCCCCCTCTCTTCACTGAGCTAGTTTTCAGATAAGCAACATGTTGACAGATCATTTTTACACAGAAGCTCATGTGTAATAAACCCTCTCTCCACCGTGTTGTTTCTTAAGCCTTTTTTGACTCATTTTATACATTTAAAATGTTTTTCTATGTTGTATTTCTGTCAACATGCTTGCTTGTTAACCTTGGTTATCTGATGTACAACATTAACAGGCATTCTGGATGTGAAACGTAACTGTCTAAATGTTGGTTTGGGAAATATCACAAAACCAAAGGACCAATTATGTTCTTCTCTCATAATCTTTTGTTGACTCGAGGCATTTTGTTGCTTTTGGTTTAAACAATAGCTGTGATGAATCCCAACACAACATTTTTTGCTGATGTTTCACTGTCAGGTTCAGCTAGTGCACATGCTGCTGCTGCTGCACTGGAAATTACCTCGCTGTTTGCTGTTCATCTGTCGAGCAAATGCCAACATGACTCTGTAAAATGTGGGGAAACCACAGCGCGCAGGGCTGTTTTTCAGACAGAGAGAAGCTGCCTATCTTGCAGCTTTTACTCAGACTGCAGCATCACATCACACCCATCACTGTCATAACCACACAAACCTACACCTGTGTTAACCTAAGCCTTCATAATCCGAAAAAGAGCCTGACTGAGGCAGCGCTATTACAAATAGCACGTGTCATTTCTTGAGCACCACCACATTTTTCAGTCAACAGACGGCTGGGCCGTCTCTACAGACAGGGACACAGACAGCTGCTTCTAAGGACCTAAAAATACCCTGTCGGAGAACAGACCAGTTCCCAGGTACCAGGGGAATGGCTGGAATGCCAAGAAAGGGTCACCCAAAAACACACACACACACACACACACACACACACACACACACAGGCCACCTGCACATTCAAAGCACAGACGCATTCACTGGGCTCTAGACTCCCAGCGGTCAGGAGGAGAACCGGTTGTTCTGGGAGGTGTCTCAGACAGCTGGACGACACAAAACCTGACAGAAAACACCAGGCGTGTCCAGCCACTGAAGAGTCCCTGCTAACATCAGATGAAAATGGTCACTTTCTCTGAGCTTTTCCTTATAATGTCCAAAAAAAGAGTATGTTTGACAGAGGCAACGATATGACAATATTTTTGACACTGATTCTGTAGGGTCAAAACATTGCCTTCATTCAGCCTGATAAAGTTTTGATTAAAATCAGTTGACTCATTAGCTGATAATCAGCCAAACAATCTCTGGATCCAGCTTCTCACTTGTGAGTACTTGCTTCTCGTCTTTTTCTTATGTCACGGTAAACTGAATATCTTTCAGTTTTGGGTTATTTGTTAGACAAATCAAGCAATTTGAAAATGTCACATTCCGCAGAATGTGCACACAGCTTCCTTCCTGCATCTTTTTTTCCCCCATAACAAATAGCAAATAATAAGGTTGTGGTAATATTTGCATCTTCTGAGGCAAATGTCAGATCTGAGTATTTGAAAGGTCAGTTCACACAGAACGCAAAAAACACGGTGCATTTTTAATGAAAGATGTTGTGGATTATTTGAACAATGTTTCTGGGTAAACATGTTGGAGTTTAGTTTCTTAAATGTCATTTTTCAGTGTTACAAGCACCAGAAGTGCTAATATCAGGGTGGTGGCAGAAATCCTCACCTTCATATTTCATATATCTCAATGTTTGTGAAGAATTTTATTAGGTGAAAATGAAACTATTTGCATCTGGGAAGATACCACAAGTGACAGGTGAGAAAATATGTTCGTCTTTTTTATGATTTGGATTAACTGACCTTTTATACTTTTCTTAAGTTTGATTAATAGTTATTGTTATGCTAAATGAATACAGCAAACACACAATATCAGTTGTCCCTTTCTCATCCATGTTCAATCCTATTTTCACCCCTTTTAAAAAAAAAAGGACGAGGAGTTGTATTATTACACAATTGTTGAATGCTTTGACATGAGCTTGTTCACTGGCAGGTGCAGTTGGCAGACGCCTTTTGTTGAAACTCTACCCTCACCACAGAAAGGTGAGCTGCCAGTCTAAGCCACACACACACACACACACACACACACACACACGCACACAAGCACACACGCCTCTCTTCAGCTAGAAGCAGCACCCGTCCCCCGCTGCTAGCAGGCTAGTCTGTCGGCTGTATGCAAATAGAGATTATTATAGCGCTCAAAGGGTTTTGCAAACAGTATTTGGTAACGATAAGTCGGGAAGAATTTGACAAAGCAAATATGAGCCCTCTGTGCTCTGAGCGATACGCCGTAACTTTATCACAGCAGCATTTGAACTGTTTAGCATATTATATTTACTTTTGCCAATGATCTAATATTTACTCATGACCTTGTCAGGAAAACTGCTCACAAAGACTCCATCGTCATAACTTCTAGTCATAACTAGTTTCAGAGTGTCGACACACCGAGTTTCCAGTTTTTACACCCTTAAAGCTGTCTGAGTACTTCATCAGACGTGTCTGTCAGATAGTCAAATAGCTTCGGTCAGAAACCTCTCCACACACCTCTCTAGCTTCAGATTGAGGAGGGGGTCCAACTCTCACACCCACTTCACACCGTCTCCTTTTTCATTTGTTACACAACTATTTCTGTCACTTTTTGATCGAATATACTAATCAATCAATCAATCAATCAATTTTATTTATAAAGCTCAATATCACAAATCACAATTTGCCTCACAGGGCTTTACAGCATACGACATCCCTCTGTCCTTTGGACCCTCACAGTGGATAAGGAAAAACTCCCCAGAAAAACCCTTTAACGGGGAAAAAAAACGGTAGAAACCTCAGGAAGATCAACTGAGGAGGGATCCCTCTTCCAGGACGGACAGACGTGCA